ATTCCCTGACAGTGACGTGCGAACTAATTCCAAGCCTGCAATTGCCCTGGCAGTACAACGGGGGGGCGGAGAGGAGGATAATGAGGTGTCGAGCGGATGGTCTCAGGCCGCAAGATCGGAGAGCAGAAAAGGGATCCGCCACCGTGCCTTGGCACGTCGAGGCGTGCTAGAATGCCAAGTGCTGTCTGGTAGGTATATCAAACATAGTCAACGACGCTGCATACTGATTCGAACACTTTTTTTTCCGAAGCGTCCTGTGGTGTTGGGTCCTCGTTTTGAAGACAGCGCCCCGCGTTTCCTCCTCCTACTCCTTCCTCCTCCCCCTTGTCATCCTCCTCCTCCGCCTCCGCCTCCCCCCATCATCATCAGCAGCAGCATCGTCATCGTCATCGCCATCGCCATCGTCGTCGTCATCATCATCGCCGTCGTCGTCACCAGCATCGCCACCCATTTCGGCGCACCCCTCGCACGTTTCGCGGCCCCATATGGAGTTCCACCCAAGGCCCCAATCGGAAAGTTCGCATGGCACCACCGCCCCATTCGGCACACCCCGCACACGTTTCGCGGGCCCATTGGGAGCTCGACCTAAGCCCCCAGTGGGAAAGTTCGCATGGCACCACCGCCCCATTTCGGCACGCCCCTCGCACGTTTCGCGGCCCCATGGGGAGCTCCACATAAGGCCTCAGTGGGAAAGCTCCGATGGCACCGCCGCCCTATTTCGGCACACCCCATCACACGCTTCGCGGCCCCATAGTGAGCTCCACCTGGGGCCCCGTGCAGTGGGGAAGTTCGCATGGCACCACCGCCTTAATTTCGGCACACCCCTCGCGCGTTTCGCGGCTCCATATGGAGCTCCACCCAAGGCCCCAATCGGAAAGTTCGCATGGCACCACCGCCCCATTCGGCACACCCTGCATACGTTCCGTGGCCCCTTAGGGAGCTCGACCTAAGCCCCCAGTGGGAAAGTTCGCATGGCACCACCGCCCCATGCCGGCACACCCCTCACACGCTTCGTGGCCCCATAGAGAGATCCACCTGGGGCCCCACTGGGAAAACCCCCATGGCACCGCCGCCCTATTTCGGCACACCCTCACACGCTTCGCGGCCCCATAGGGAGCTACACCTGGGGCCCCGTGCAGTGGGGAAGTTCGCATGGCACCACCGCCTTAATTTCGGCACACCCCTCGCGCGTTTCGCGGCCCCATATGGAGCTCCATCCAAAGCCTTAATCGGAAAGTTCGCATGGCAACGCCGCCCCATGTCGGCACACCCCTTACACGTTTCGTGGCCCCACAGGGAGCTCCAGCTAAAGGGCCCGAGCGACTCACCTCCGACCGAGAACTGAGGGGCCCGAACGACTCACCTCCGACCGAGAACTGCGGAGCCCGAATAAGTGACCCCCGACCGACAACTGAGGGGCCCGAGCGACTCGCCCCCGACCGACAACTGAGGGGCCCGAGCGAATCACTTCCGACCGAGAACTGAGGGGCCCGGGCGCCTCACCCCCGACCGACAAGTGCGGGGCCCGAACTACTCACTTCCGACCGAGAACCGAAGGGCTCGAACGACTGACCTCCGACCGAGAGATCAGGGGCCCGAACGACTCACGTCCGACCGAGAACTCAGGAGCTCGAACGACCCACCTCGCTCTACGCGGTCAAGCCCCGCGCGTGCGGGTGACCATGGTCACCCGCGCGCGCGCGCGCGCGCCGCGGCGCGCGCGCGCGTTGGAGTTCTGTGTTGTCCACGATGGATAAGTCCACATGTAATTCCAAAAAATGAATTTGAAATTTCTGTGGCTCTTTAAGGAGGCCGACGGTGAGTGGGTCACCCGCGCGTGCGGGTGACCATGGTCACCCGCGCGCGCGCGCGCGCCGCGGCGCGCGCGCGCGTTGGAGTTCTGTGTTGTCCACGATGGATAAGTCCACCATGTAATTCCAAAAAAATGAATTTGAAATTTCTGTGGCTCTTTAAGGAGGCCGACGGGAGACGGGTCACCCGCATGTGCGGGTGACCATGGTCACCCGCGCGCGCGCGCGCCGCGGCGCGCGCGCGCGTTGGAGTTCTGTGTTGTCCACGATGGATAAGTCCACATGTAATTTCAAAAAATGATTTTGAAATTTCTGTGGTTCTTTAAGGAGGCCGACGGTGAGTGGGTCACCCGCGCGTGCGGGTGACCATGGTCACCCGCGCGCGCGCGCGCGCCGCGGCGCGCGCGCGCGTTGGAGTTCTGTGTTGTCCACGATGGATAAGTCCACATGTAATTCCAAAAAATGAATTTGAAATTTCTGGGGCTCTTTAAGGAGGCCGACGGTGAGTGGGTCACCCGCGCGTGCGGGTAACCAGGGCGGCTATCGGCCGCGCAAACCTCGAATTCGAAACGCAGGGCACAGCGCCGCGGGCCCGCGGGCCATCGGCCACCAGCGTATCGCCATCTCTGATATTCTTAATCCGCTACATACCCGTTGGCAACTGTCTGAATTGGCCACGCGCGAACACGTAATCCGCTTCAGAAAACAGCCCACAACAAACAACGCACATCGGACAACGCATTCGCATGCAGTGGAACACCAGTCGTCCAAAGTAAGTACATAGGGACGCCGCGGTCGTGGGATCGGAGTATGAGTCGTAGTTCGTGGAGCTGTCGGTCTGTTCTGTCGGTAATTCGGAGTTCTCCCGCCGGGCCTCTCCAGAAGCCGTCGTCGCTGCGCTCTGCTCCAAGCGATGCCAAGTGTGCTCGGTAGGCGTGGAGTGGCCCCCGCGTGTCGGTCTTGATCGTGATCTTGTCCCAAAGCGCAAGTGCTCCAGGCCCCTGTCGACGTAGTCTGCTGCTCAGAACTTGCAGTGCTCGCCGGCACAGGTGGTAGCGTAGGTCGGTGCTATGCCCCATTACTACCAGACGAAGTAGTTCGGGAGCTGCCCGGGGCCATTTCCGCAGGGTCACAGCCTTTCGTGCTTTCTTGAAGTTTGCAATATTCTCGCCTTTTCTGTTTTCCGGCGCTCCAAGATGGGCCAGGAGGCCTCGAAGACCGCCCCAGCGCAACCCGAGAGGCCCCCAAGTCGGCCCCGCGATGGCCCAAGACTCCAAGACGGCCCAGGAGGCGGCCACACAGGCACAATAACGCCCCAAGAGGGGCCGGGGACGCCCCAAATCGCCCCAAGCCGCCCAAGATGGCCCCCAGGCCCGGCGGCCCAAGAGGCCGCCAAGACGGCCCTGGAGGCTTCCAAGATGCCTCCAAAGAAGTCCCCAAAGACAAACATCACTGATTTTCCGAAGATTGTTGCAAATATTCAACCTTCTCCCTCGCCGGCTTTCCGACGCTACAAAATTGCACGAGAAGGCCCCAGGGCCGACCCGAGACGGGCCGACAGGCCCCCGAGAAGGCCCGCAGACGGTCCAAGACGGCGTCGGAACTGCCCCAGAGGCGCCCAAGGTCGCCCACGAGGAGCCTAAGAGGGGAAACGCGATCTGCCGATCCGAGCCTTCGGCCCCAAGAGGCCCCCAGGAAGCCCAGCGAAGCCCCCAAGAGAGCCCAAGAAGCCCCCTGGGAGCCCCGCGAGGCCCCCAGTGAGCTGCTCAAGCCAGCGGATGACTCGCGGCTCAGAATCTGCGGACACGGTCGCTGCACGCTGCCGTCGGCTTGTTCGGCGCCCATGGCAACCCGCGGTTGCCCCGGCGGGGCCCGCAGATGCGCGGCAGCGTTCCCCGCGGCAATGGCAAGAACACCGCTGAGCGTTGCTGCCGCGGGTGGGTTAATCGGCGCTGCAATGAGCGGTGGGCGGCGCGCGCCGCCGCCGCAGGCGGGCGTCGCGAGGGCGACCGGCCCAAGCGCGAGGCGCGCCAGGGCGCGCGGCCCAACGACGCGAGGCGTTGCCTGAAATGGCTGCGGGGAGTAAATTCTGGAGGGGTTAACGCCGCTGCCCCGACGCCCCCGCTGCCGCGCAGACCCTCTTACGCGCAGAGCACGTCAAGCCCCGCTGCGCACGGCGACGAAACAAACTAAGGTAGCCAAACCCAAAATGCAAGATACACACCCCGCACATTGACTCCCTGAGTTGACATGCGCACCCTCGCCCGAGGTCACAGCCGCGCAAAACTGGGCGAGAAGACGGAGGGGCCCTGTGTGAATGAAGCTTCCTCTATCACCCGGGGGGCCGACTGACGAACCTTCAATGCGAACTGGGGCGCGCGGGGCCTCGCGCCCGACTCGGCGGGCCCGGCAATGTGCCAGGGCCGTTCGACCCGCGGCCGTCGCGGCCAAGTGGGGCTCGGAGGCTTCTTCCCGGAGGGGCCGACGGAGACGTCAACTGCGGCCCTGGGTCCCCGCGCGCGCCCAGCGCTGGCAATGGCGCCGGCGCCTCCCGCGGGCGCGCCAGAAGCGGCCGCGAGCGGAGCCGGGCCGATCGCGCGCTTGTTGACGTCGGACGACAAGACGGCGATGCTGACAGCAGCATTGGCCCGGGTCTTACCGACGCCCGCGGATTGGGCCCTGAGCTGGTGGATGGAGTCGAGCATGTCCCCTTCGTCAAATTGTTTGTAGACTCTGTAACCACGGCGACATTTGCTTGCAGGCTGCGGGCGCGCAGATGCCGCGCGCCGGCGAGGCCTGAATGCGCACTGGGGCCGCGCGTGGAGGCAGGGGGCGGACGGTGAGAATGGGTTCAGCAATGGGCGTGCCCCGCTCCGCTGCGTCCTCGTCGCAATCGCCCTGAACGCGGTCGACGACCATGGCGCGATCGTCGGGCGGCGGGCCCGTATCAGCTGACACCGGGGCGCGCCCTCCAGCTGCGGCGGGGCGCGGCGCGGAGGCGGCGGGCCCGAGCTTCGGGCCTTCGTTGAGCGGGGGCGCGGGGGGGGGGGCCGGGGTCGAAGGGGGCCCGAAGGCCCCTTGACGACGCTCGGCGCCAACAACTCCTGCGGGGCCAGCACGGTCGCCAGAGGCGCCGGTTTGGGGGGGGGCCCTCGGACATTAAACCGATGGCCCAAAGTTGAGCGTGGC